TACGCCCAACGTAACAGATTAAGCACTTTCTCCATTAAGTTCTTAATACTCGATTCTCTTACGTCCAAAAGTCAGATCTAGGCTTATTAAGACGACCTAAGGCATAAAGTTGGCGACTTTATGCCTTTGCATGTCTCATATGTTCCCAACAACCCCACCAACATCCTATCTAAGCTCAAAATGGTCTCACAAGCTTTCTCTAGAGTAAAAAGACGAACTAAGGCTATGTAGGCTCTCTAGGGTTAAGTCCAAGGGGCTTAATAACGTTTAAATAGGCCTCAAGTCCGGAATTTAGGGTTTTGGTCATCCGGCACGTACGTCCAGCGTACTCCTGGTACACCCAACGTACGTGATGCCCCTCCTCGATCCTCTTTGCCAAGTACGCTAAGCGTACCCATAAGTATGCCCGGCGTACTTAAGGGACTTATTATGCTATAATTAGAATTCTTCAAGGGTTTCAAGGCAATACCTGATTTTGGAGTGTTACAACGTTGGGTGTACGTGTGTACGTTGACCATACTGGGGCGGAACCTAGTATGATGGGTGTACACCACGTACGCAGGGCGTACGTGAGAAATCATCAAACACTAATTTTTAGGGTTTGGTCCATAAAAAACATCATTATCTCTCATTTCTCATTTCCTCACCAGCCTCCATCTGAGAAAAATGACCCCAAGCAAACCCTAAGTGAGTATAGTACATATTGAGCTTATCTTTGTGTTCTTGTGGTATTCTTGAAGAAGAAGAAGGTGGTGAGAAGAACTTGGAGCTTGGAAGCAACTTGGATCTGAGACTACCTTATTGCTAGCAACCTCTAGGAGGTAAAAAGTTCTTAACTTGGTCACTCTACCTTGTAGATCTAGCCATTTCTTCATTTAGAACAGTTTTGGTCCCAAATATGGTTATTCTTGAGCATGACATACTCTTAACCAAATAAGTCGTCCTTTCAGACCTTATGGGGGGGGGGGGGTCTTAAGTCATAAAATTGTGGTCTTGATGCTTAGCTTTCTTCCATGCATGCTCTAGAAGATCTTAAGGCATTAAGATGTTGAGAATTTGTGTTATAAGCACTTAATAGACATGCAAATTCATAAAGTTGGAAACTTTATGACTGTTGGTGGTATTTTAACCTTGGATCTGCATTTGGACGTATTAAGACGAAAGATTAAGCTCTTAATTGATTAAGAAGATAATTTTTGCATACGCTGGGAGTACCAAATGGTACACTGCGCGTACGCAGATTTGGCCCCAACGTCTCGGACTGCTAGTACGCCCCGCGTACATCCAAAGTACGCCCCGCATATGAGCCCTGAGTTGAATCGGCTGGGTTGACTCGGTTGATTTGTCGATTTTGACCAGTTTTAACCAAGGGTATTTTGGGAAAATGTTATTAATTTAGAATGGGAAATGTTTTGACATTTAGGATTTTGGGTTGAGCCGGTTGTCGGAGCTGGGATTTATTCAGACTGCATTCATACTGTGAGGTGAGTTTTCCTCACTGTATTTACGAGTCGAAGGCACCAAGGTTGGCCCATTGGATTGATATCCGGGTTTACCGTATGTTACTATGATGTAGTGATCTGTTATATTTGTACCCTAGTATATAGGATGTTGTTATGTTGTAGTGATCCATTAGATCTGTATGATTATCTGTATTTGTTGGCTCTGTGTTTATGTTTGTTTGTTGCATATGTAGACATGCTGTGTTGAGATGAGGCGGTCTTGCTTTATAATGGAGGACAGGACACCCGGGGACGACCGGATAGGTTGTAGGCCCTGCGAGGCGGTCCAGTTAGGTCGGATACTCGTGGAGCGTTCCAGATAGGTTGTAGGCCCTGCGAGGCGGTCCAGTCAGACTGGTTGTTCATGTTTGCATTCTTCCTATCTATATGGTGTGTTGGTACTTTGGGGGGGACTTAGTAAGCTTGGGCTTACAGTTTTAGTTTGTGGTTTCAGGTACTTTCGAGGATCGTGGGAAGGTGAAGGCTTGATCGTATATAGCTTCCAGTTTTATGTCTTCGAGTCTTGGGAAAACTTTGATTTGAAATATTACTTTTGAAACAATGATTTGTTTGTAAACAATTTTCATGCATGGTTGGTTTTAAAAAAATTTAAATTTATTGTGATTTTGGGAGTGTTACAAGTTGGTATCAGAGCCTTGGTTTAAGAGAATTGGATGAACATTCGTGTGAATCAGACTCAAACTAGGGAACTGCAAAAGTTTTTAAACTGGTTTTCAATTTTTTTTTCAAAAGTAACCAAGGAATGATGTGATGTGTACAATCAGCCGGAGCAAAAAGTATACCCGAAGTTACCCACATTGTTATTTGATACCGTGTTTATGGTAGAACAACATGCTAGTGGTAGGCTAGGGTTCTTCAGAAATTGCATGAAAGAATTGTATGATATATGATGCCTGATAGCTTAGGGTATTTCTGTATGAAACTAACATCATTACTGTAGTTACTTAGTGTATGTTTCATAGTTGTACATAACTAAGATCTTATAGCCTGAGAATGCTTGGTTTGGCCTTATTTCATGTTCCTTGTTTGGTTGTGGACTTAGGGTAGAATGGGTAATTGAATGTCTATGGGATCCAGCGTTATGTATGATTAGCATACACAAGTGTTGTAGGGTTGGTGGAAGTTTCATGGAGGGGTTTGTGTGCGAGAAACCAGTTAGTTGATGAATGTTTAGCCTTTCTCTAGGAAGAGAGAGTATGATGTATGTGTATTCTAGTATGTGTTGTTAGGGTTGTTATGATGATCTTATGAGATAAATACGGGTAGGTACTGAAGGTAGTATGGGCCCGTACTACTAGAAGCACGGGACCCATACGCGTAGTAGGGAAGTCACAACCCCCAGGGTTTCATTATTTGGAATAGCTCCTATGATATGAATTGCGTTTATTCTTATGGTTTCTGGTTTATTTTAGTATGGTGTATACGAGGGGGGTCCATATCAGGAGCATGAATGAGTGGCTAGGATAGGTCAGGGCTGACTGAGGATCAGGTCAGGGAGACGATTCATGTTAAGTTTGTGTCTATGGTCTGGGGGCAGATACCGGATTTGTTTGGGTCGATCAAGACTGCCATGATGGAGTTCTTTGATGATTGATACGCAGCACTTTCAGAGGCTTCTACTGTTGCAGCCACCGCGGTCGTGGCCATTGTGGGGATTGGAGGTGGAAGAGCCATCCAGTACCGGGACTTCGATAATACCAAGCCCCCTGTGTTTTGATGGGGTTCAGGATCCGATCATTTCCATGAGATGGTTGTCTGATGTTGAAGGGTGTTTCTTTACTTGTTCCTGCCCAACTGACTAGAAGGTTAAGTGCGCCCTGAACATTCTCAGGTTGGGGGCGAAGGATTGGTAGTGGCTGGTTACTAGCTCTTACACTCCGGAGCAGAGGGCTGCAGTATCATGGGAGTAGTTCTCTGAGATGTTCTTGTTCTAGATATGTCCCACTGGTTGAGAGGGAGAGATTAGCCCATGAGTATTTGGACCTGCGGCAGGGTAAGGATTCGGTGACGGAGATCACCAAGATGTTCACCGAGAGAGCATCATTTTGCCATGAATTTTGTAACGCTCAGTCCAGGTATTATTTATATTTTGGTCCCTTATATGTTTAATTATTGCTTTTGGACCTTATGTTTGCAAGTTTGAGGGAAGGAGGGACCGTTTCTGCCAATTTTGGATTTTTGGAGGCAGAGCCCGAACGCGGGGCGTTCCCCTGGGGAATGCACTGCGTTCACGTGCAAAGTGTAAACCCTAAAATTTAGGGTTAACCCCTATATAAAGAACATTATGCCCTAAAGTCCAGCCACCCTCTCACCCTTAAGCAGATCCCACGAAACCCTAATCCTTTGTTTGTGTGTTTCGAGCCTAGAAGACCATTTTGGAGTGCATCTTGGTGTTTTGAAGGAAGGTGGTCATTGTTGAAGCATCATCAAAAGGAGCAAAGGCTTATAGATCCAGAACCTTATCATCATTTGGCACTCATATAAGGTATAAAGCTCTGAACTAGGTGTTTATTTGCTTAGATTTCTTGTGTTGGGTTTTGTAGACCTTTTTGGTCCCAAGGATGAAGCTTTATGGTTCAAATCCGTTTCCTAGGCTTAGGGTTGCCACCCTTGGTGTTATTTGAGTCCCTAAGACAGAAAGTTGTCATCTTGAAGTTATTGATGTGTTCATGCATGGGATAAGGCCATTTTCATGGAAGTAGAATGCTATTTTTGGAGTTTGGAGCTTTTGGGAGAATGCAAAGTCACCAAGTCCGTGACTATAGATTTTTTTTTATTTGCTAAGTAATATTTTATCTTTGTTTTTTTAAAGACCCTCTATACTTATTGTTATATATTTAATTTATTTAATTTTATTGTTAGATACTTATTTACTTTAAAAATATTATATATGCTTAAAAACAAAAGGAAAAAAAGTTATAAGAGGAAATATAAAATATTTCACAAAACAAAAATATATTTATTAATTAAAAAAATAAAGTTTAGAATTGTTCAATATTTAATTAATTTTTAGGAAATTATGGATATTTTAAAAATAATATTTGAAAAAAAAAATAATACAAAAAAATATGAAAAATAAAATTGTTATTAAAAGTGGAGAAAATGACTTATCATAATAATTAACATTTCGTTTTGTTCACATTTAGCCATTTAACTTGTTAATATGTTCACATATTACCATTGTCACCTGCTATAGCCTGTGACAATGGTAATATGTGAGCACATATAACAAATTAAATGGTTAAATGTGTATAAAAATAAAGAAGTTGTCTAAATATAAACAAAACGACAAAGATTATAGCCGATGACAATGTAATATGTAAACACATATAAAAAAATTAAATGGTTAAATGTGTATAAAATAAAAAAAAAATGTCTAAATATAAAGAAAACAACAAAGATAATTACGCTGGTAAATCATTTTCACGAATATAACGCAGACCATTCATATCGGAGGGCCTTAAAACTACCACCAATTAGTTCGTAGGTATCAAAGTAACAAAAGCAAAACTACATGGTTGTAAATGGTAAAATCAGAACGTAACTAGGTACCCTTAGGCCTGACAATCGTGTCGTGTTCGGGTTGGCGTGTCGCGGGTTGGCGGGTCAAAATATGCTAACCCAAACACGACCCATTTAAATATACAGGTCATGGGTTGGCGTGTCACGGGTTGGCGGGTTTGGAACATAAACCCATATATGACCCACGAACCCATTTATTTATACGAGTTCACAGGTTGACGGGGTTGTGGGTTAGATTTGGGTTCGTGGGTCGGATTCCATAAATAAAATTAACAATTAAACATGAATAAAATCTTGATGGTTGATGCAAACATATCTGAATTTTAGACACTTAACTACTTAAGTCTTAAAGTCTTAAACATCCAAATGAAAATTAAAAACATTCATAGAAATATGTTCAATGCCTCAATCGCTCATACAGCCATACGCTATTTGATTTAGGGAAAAAATGAGGAAAATCAATTGGTTACAAACTTACTTACGATCTTATGAGTTAGGACCACAAGTCAAAATATCAATACATTTAAAAATAAAAAATATATTTTTTTAATTAAAAATATAAACGGGTCGGGTTTCGTGTCGAGAATTGCCGGCACTAGTTACCCTCAAACCTCAATCTCTTGTTACCCTGCGCTTCCTTAATGACAGAGCTTCTTCTTTCTCATTCTCCCCACAAACAATGACAGAAAGCTTACCAAAAACCCTAAATAAAAGGGAACCCATCTCTCAGAATTGAATCTCTTGAGTTTTAATTTAATCACTTCGATCAGACAATAACTGCTTTCATCTGGTACTTTCTCTGTTTCCTTTCTTGTAACTGCTCTCAGTTCTTAAATTTACTAAGTTATGTTCAGAAAATCTAGTATCTAGATCCATTTCTGTCACAAAAATTGTATCTTTCTTATAATTTCCCATCTGGGTTCATTTGTAACTCCATCGATATCGTTCTTTAGGTGGTTTAATCGTCCATTTTTCTCAACCCCTCTTTGTTGTGTTTAGAGCTTCAAAGCTTTCATTTTTCTCAAATTATCGCCAATACTCAATTCAACCACCCTGTTGTTCGTTTTACATTCAAGCATCACTCATAATCGCACATCAAATATTTAGGGCTCTATCTTGTACCTTTTTACTGAAAGAATTCGAAATGGATTATGGTCGAGAAAGTGGAAACGTTGTCCAGATAATCACCGGAGGGTCAAGAAACGGCGGTGATTATTGGGGGGATCAACCCGTATGGGCAACTGAAGATGAATATGGTGTTTGGGATAGAGAAGCATCCATTGATAACACTTCTAATTCCAATTACGATGGAAGACAATCACAAACAAGATCCGGAAGCGATACACCAAACAAGAAAAGAAATGGTCAAGGAGGTGATGCACAAGCCACAAGTCGATCAAAAGCAATTGGAAAAATGTTTTTCAAAACAAAATTATGTTGCAAATTCAGAGCAGGAACTTGCCCTTACATTACAAACTGTAATTTTGCACATAGCATTGAAGAACTGAGACGTCCTCCACCAAATTGGCAAGAAATTGTAGCTGCTCATGAGGAAGAAAGGGCAGTTTCGTCCGAACCAAGAGAAGAATTTCAAATTCCATCACTCGGGTCGTCTAGTTTTACAGTTGATAGTCAAAGATCTTATAAAGGAAGACACTGTAAGAAGTTTTATACTGAAGAAGGGTGTCCTTATGGTGATAACTGCACGTTTCTTCATGATGAGCAATCTAAAGCTCGTGAAAGTGTTGTAATAAGCTTAGGTCCTGGATCTGGTAGTGGGTATGGTGGGGCAGGCGGCAGCATTGGTGGTGGTGCTGTAGTTGTAGTAGCCGGTGGTGGCGGTGGTGGTGGTGGTGGTGGACCCGAGGCGGCTGGATCAAACTCCATGTTGAAGCCTTCGAATTGGAAAACAAGAATATGTAACAAGTGGGAACAAACAGGGTATTGTCCATTTGGGAGCAAGTGTCATTTTGCTCATGGTGCTGCAGGTATAGTTTTTTTTTTTTTTTTTTCATAAATAAATAATATTCTAAATGCAAATAGCTGGAAATAGCAACATACTTCTTTACATTCATAAATATTTCCTGCAACGTTTTGGATTCTTATGGTTATTTTGGCAGAACTGCATCGATATGGTGGGGGGCTTGTTGATATAGAAGCTAAAGATTCTTTGAGTTCAATGGATCCAAATAATAATAATAATAAGCAAGGGGTAATTTCGTCCAAAACACCTGCTGAATCTGTAGTGGCTGCTGCTGGTCCTTTAGATGGTTACCATGTTGGGGTTCCTTCGCAGCGGTTGCCTGGTGTTATTCCGAGGACTGGACAGAGACCTTTTCAAAAGTGGAAGGGCCCCGATAAGATTAGTCGTATCTACGGGGACTGGATTGATGATATTGAATAAGTTTGGGGGGGGCAAAGTTAATAGACTTCGCTAATGTTATTGTGCTTGTTTTTCTCTATGTTTAGCTTTTGTATGGATCTTTGAATGCTCTTTCATTGAAATGTTTCGGGTATTCTTGTTATTAGTATGTTTGTTATAATATAATGTACTAATTTCGTCCAATTTGACTTGTTAAATAATTTTAATAATAAAGATATTATCATTCTAAACTCTTAAGTCTAAAATAAAAAAGAATATGTGAACAAACAATTTCCCTATGTCAAGATTTTGTTTTGTGCCCAAAAAGATGCACATCTTCACCTCCTTTTTTATCTTTGTATCTCTATGATAAGATAAGTTTTGTACATGTCATCACCATATAAGATTTGATAATTATATATTAAGTTAAAAAATTATGGTAAAATTTGATCAACATTAATTTAACTAATGCTCTACAACATATATGCCGGTCATGCTTAGCATACTACTTGAAAGTCACCTTTTTGGGGTCCTTTGACTAAGGGTTAATTGTATATTAATGCAAACAAGATTTAATTATGTATCCAAATTTTAATTTGTTACCAATTTGGTAAATGGTTTACAAATTATCAAAGAAAAATAAAATGTAGCTTGTATAAATTATTAAGAGTTATGTTTTGATAAATAAAATGGTTAAAAAAAGTAATAAAAAAAAGTGGATAAGTGTTTGACCCCTGAGGTAATGCATATTAGTGGTTATTGCATACAAGTTCCACATATTACTCGTTCAATGATTTTATATACGCCCTACCATTTAGAGGAAACCAACGCCACATCACACCATCTTCCCACATATATTGGACCTTCTCACTTATCCATCCCCTTTTCTCTTTCTATTTTCTCACAAACTATGCAACAATGCAAATCCAAAATTTAATACACTCCGGTCGAATTTCACCTAAATCACATTGTTTCCCATCTCTTCCTTATCCTGAAAAGGACACCGGCCGAAATTTTAGATCTCCGGCCAATGACGACGGAGGTTGCAACCGTTGCACCGGCAACAGATCCACATGCATCCCCTCCTATCACCATCATTTTAACCACTATTCTCCTCGTCATTTTCTTTATTGGCTTCTTCACAATATACTTTTGCAGGTGTTTCATGCAAAATGTTCTTTACACATGGAATACCCATCATAACCCTCCTGGGACACAGATGGGCGGTCCAGGGAGCAGTGGCCCCCCTGGACTCGACCCACATATTATTAATACTTTCCCTACTTTTATCTACTCTGATGTTAAAGAATTTCGACGTGAAACATATGGGTTAGAATGTGTTATATGTTTATGTGAATTTGAGAACGACAATGTCCTTCGACTTTTAACAAAGTGTTACCATGTTTTCCATCAAGATTGTATAGATCTTTGGCTTGAGTCACATAAATCATGCCCTTTTTGTCGACGTGGCCTCGAAACACCGCTTCCCTCGCCAGCAAAATCTCTGGTGTCACAAAATAGTACATCCATGCATGAGATCCAAGAAAATGAGTTGCTTGAAGACACATTTACTATCAATATTAGGGATGAAAATGAAAGGAACAACAATACGGATACCAAAGAAGACAACAAGAAAGAAAAGCATGTAAATATTGATATTGATCAAGGAGAAGTTAAGAGAACAGAAAAATTTCCAAGAAGCAACTCCACGGGTCATTCGATTACTAAAAATAGTAAGGCAAGTGAGGACGGAGATAAGTTTACATTAAGATTGCCCGAACATATACAGGCAAAACTCATTCGTGGACATAATTGGACACGAAGTTGTACCGAGTTTGGAGAATTCAAAACTAGAACTTCCGCTAGTAGTACAGGATTTGGCGAGGCGTCGACATCTAGAGATGTAAACAAAGTATAATCCGTTTATAGAAATTTTGTTTATTATCAAATTTTAGAAAGTTTATAGGATTAGTTAGGAATATTGTAAGATGAGATACTATTTTTCTTGTTTCATTTTTGCATATATTAACCAGATATATTATTATACCGGAATGAACTCTTAAAAGTTATGATATTAGTTTTTTATATCTTTTTTCTTAATTGTATCCATGTTCCTGGGTCACTTCCCTTCAAACCTTGTTTTTGTGTGCAAGTTTAATGTTACAAGAATAACAAGATGAGGTACAATAGTTTAAGGCCTTAAAATAAGAGACTAATTTTTAATATAAACATGATTAAGTAGTAAGTGTAGAATGTGTAAAGCGTAAATTTGTAGCTTTCAAATCAATTAGTATTTTAGAATACTTATTTTAAATATCATCACTTATAAAAAGACCTATTATCAAATAAAATGTCCTTTCAATTTGTCTTTTGTTTTTATGTTGAGGTGGAAGAAGTTAAAGGACTAATGTTGCAATTTATACAAAATAATTTATGAACGGTTTTGATATTACCATAAAAGACACTAGTTTTACAGCCTTGATCTGAATTAGCCCCAATTTGTTTTTTTTTTGTTAGTCAAAGACCATTATCTAGGGTCGTTTGTCTCAATATAGCAACGTTACCCCTCACAAACCGATAAACCCTCTTTAGCCGATTGCCCCTTCGATTGACGAGAATATCTACGGAAGATATGTATAAATTGTACTAATTGATCATCAAAGAGGTTTTTCTTAGTGATTTACAGAGCATAACGAGGGTTTTGATATCGAATATGTTTTACACCATTCTCGCATACCAAAGCTTGATGGTTGAAGTAATAATCAACTGAAATTGGAAGGTACATGGTTTGATATGATCAAATGCAAACTCTTTTGAAGGTATATGGTTTGATATCGGTGTTCTTCATGTGTAACACATTATGTTTTTTACAGATGGCTTCTATATCTACCACAAGAATAGAGAAAGGGCCTGAGAAAATCTACATGGTTAACGAAGACTCTGATGATGACATGATCGACCTCTCCTTTTTGGATTTTCAACTAGAGACCTTTAAACCAACTTCTACTCTTTCTGATAACCCATTCCTTAACATATTATGTGATGACAATATGTTAAGGAATACTATTGACGGATTGGGAGAAAATGATAACAATGAGCATGTCTAGGAGCAAGCACATGAACATATTGATGATGAAAATGATCTTGAAGTTGGTGCAGAGTATAGGGTGCACGATCTATACGTAAAATAGAAAAAAAATGAAGCCAGTTATGGGAAAGTTATATAAGTCCCCTGCTCAACTTAAATTTGAATTAACACATTACGATGTAGCTAATGGATATCAGTTATGGTTTATGAAAAGTGATAGACACAGAGTCATTGCAAGGTATGGAAAAATCTATTCAAAAAATCCATGCCCTTTTATAGTATATGTTGTTTGGAAGTACAATGAACGAACATTTCAAATAAAATCCATGTGTGACATACATCATTGTGCTATGAATTATAAATTTAGAAATTTGGTTTCTTGCAAATGGATAGCCAAACATTATGTGTAACAACCCAAAAACAGTGATAAAATTTTTCGTTCAAAGTATTAATTTCATTCATTAATTGTCCTAAAAAGTAAAAACCATCATCACCGTAATATTCAATACATCAGAGTACAATTATTTCAAACGCGAAAAACCATGAGGGTATGATGTTGTGCCATCACGTCAGGTCCTTCCCTTTTGAACCAGAAGTACCCGAAACCATAAACATAATTTGTAAGCACAAAGATTAGTGAGTTCCTCAAAGTACCAAATACCTAAAAATACAATTAGGCTAAACCTTGGGGTATTTCCAACCCATCATACACATATGGGCCCCACCTTAGGGCCTCACCCTGGAGTGTATTTCAACCTGACAATACATATGGGCCCTGCCTGAGGTATCTTTTATCCCAATCATACAGTAGTGGGCCTGTTAGGTGCTATTTGTGCACCTTTTTGCACACCTTTTAGTCCCATTTCATGCATCTATTTAGCACAATTGTTCTTCCTTTTTCTTGCATTTCATCATATTCATGTTAGTCTCTAGAACAACCTTATTTGCACACTTTCATGTCTTTTTCAGGTAAACCGGAGGTTGGAACGCGCTTTGGGAAGTGCCGGGAAGCATTGGTGAAGATTTCGGGATGATCGGGCGAAGAACGAAAAAGTTGGAAAAATCAAGTTTGGAATTGGAGTCAGAGAGGTACACGGGGCGTGTTGAATTTACACTAAAAAGTGGGCACGGGGCGTGTTTGACCAAAATGGGAGCTGTTGACCATGCTGACACGGGGCGTGTCAGTTTAGTGCAAATCAACACGGGGCGTGTTGGCTGCTGAACACGACCCGTGTCAGTTTAGCCTATTTTAACACGGGCCGTGTTCGACCCAAAAACCAACTTTTGGCAGTTTTTCCTATCTTTCATATTACGGGTTGAGGGCATTTTTACAGACACACAACATATCAGAGCACCATTGGAGAGGAGAATTCGAAGGTTTTTGCAAGGGTTTGTCCGTTAATCATTTGGAAACATTAATTCTCGTTTTTGTAAGTTGTAATTACACTTAATTTCATCTTTTAGACTTGTGATCTTGTTCTAGCCATGTGTGGCTAGAACCCTAGTTTCTCCAATTTCATGTTTTGACTTTTTGGCTGTGAATCAAATCATATGACCTGATGTTTGTGTTTAATTTCTATCTAGTGAAACTGATTTTACTTCAATCGAATGTTTGATTCTAATAATGATTCTTATTGGCCATTTGAATTAGGGATAGGTCATTCAAGTTATTCATTTTGCAAAATCCGTAATTGTTTTGTGAATTGAACTAAGTAACAAGCATTAAATTGATTTCTTATGAATAAATTTAGTGTAAATCTTTTCACACATTCTTACGCTCCCGAGCTTGTGAGGAGTATTGGGTGTTGTTGGGAACATTCACAATAAGCTTAATGCAATCTTTTAATCTACTTCTAAGAGCTTGTTTAGATTAGGTTAGTAAGGTTAGGATTAATCAAAGAGCTTGTTTTGATTGATTAATGTGGTGAATGGAAAGTGTTAGAGCTTGTTAACACTTTCAAGTACCAACTTAGATAGAATGAAACAAATGTCTTGCCATCTTTGATTCACATTGCTAGATTGTCATACATGGAGTTGGAGTCCTTACAAAATCTGAACTTAATTCATTGGTTTAGTTGTTTACTCGCGTTTTAAATTGGTTTGCTACATCATTACACTCAAACCCCCCCTCTTTATTGTTGGTGACCATAGTACCTTGCACAAAGAGGTATAGACTAATTATCCTGTGTCTCTGTGGATCGACCCTGCTTGCCTTGTACTACCTTTTAGTGCAATATAGTGGGATTATTTTGGAGTATATCGTACCCCAATTATTTGTTGAGTCTGACACGCCTAACAAATTGGCGCCGTTGCCGGGGACACGGTGTTACTAATTGTTTATACCAAGATTTTTGTGAGCATGTACATCTCTATCAAAAAAAAAACAATAAATAAAAAGTGTGGCTTGGAGATGAACACTCCTTACATTAAAGACCAACTTTCTGAGCTAGCACAAATTGTTATGATGATTGAAAATGACCAAAGTATGCAGCCCACACCTATTCCTTGTGATTTTTGCACTCAAAATGGACATGACACCAACATGTGTCCATATTTACAAAAGGAATGGGAAGAAGTGCAGGAAAGGGGAAGCTATTATTGGCCAAATCAATGGAGTTATGATCAACCTCAACATGATCAATGGTGGGAAAACAACCAAGCTTGGGGAAACAACCAATGCCAAAACCCATACCAAGCTTGGGGAAATGACCAATACCAACTAATTCCACAGTTCCAACCACCATATTCTGCACCTCCCCAACAAGATGAAACTTCGAGCATGTCCTTGGAAGACATTGTGAAAAGTATTGCCACTACTACCCAAATATTCCAGGAAACAACCAAAGCTAGCCTCAAAAGCTTAGAGGAACAAATTGCACAACTTGCTCAATCTGTGAGTATATTAGAAACTCAAGGCAAATTACCATCGCAGACTGAAGAGGACCCAAGGCATACCGTTTCTGCCATTACCTTGAACGATGAGAAAAAATTTGATGACCCAAGATTGCAATTTGAAGACCGGGAGGAGGAGGAAGAAGAAGTAGAAGTGGAGAAGGTTGTCAAGGAAGAAGTAGAAATGGAGAAGGATGACATGGAAGTTGTAGAGGAGGTGTTGGAGGTTGACAAAAAAGAGGCTGAGCCACCCACTACCAATGAGAAACTCCTTTCACCGGTAGACCAACCATAAGAGCCGAAAACGACAAATTTGTTGGACCCTTCAAGGGATATGTACCTTGAGAAGGAAGACACCCAACCGGTCATCAAATCAACCACCTTATCAAAGAAGGAAGATTTGACCACCTTACCGGACAAGTACAAGAAAGGGGTCGACTGGACGATTTTTGTCATTAAGGGTCTAAGTCCAACATGGTTCCCACGCAAAAAGAAAGTCAAGTACAAGATAAGTGTTCCATTGAAGGAGGTGGCGAAAAGTTTAGTAAGTTGGAGAGCCCCACATACTTAGATTGATGCATATTCAGGGGTCATGTCGAGCCAACGACTTTAAAAAAGGGCGGCTAACCGGGAGGCAACCCGGGGGTATTTTTGTCCTTTCTTTTAAAACTTTTTAGTCTTTGGTAAATTTCAAAATTTTAATGTCCCAAATGGTTATAAACTTGTTTTTGCCTAGAAAATGACTCTCGGGCTCCAAAAATATTTCACGAATAGCTTGGGGAAGATGAAGAGAAGGTTCTCACCACAATTGTTAGACTCTAAGAACGATTCGGTAAATTCTTTCCATATCTTTAATTGTCCACATTTTGCTTAAAATTTCAATTTGTGTGCACTTATGACTGTTTTGGACCTTACCCGACCCGACTACCATCCCGCACCACCTTCCGGTGATTAGGTTGTTCCACCCTCTCCAAGCATCGGGGACGATGCTTATCTTTAAGCTTGGGGAGGGGTAGAGTTGTACATTAGGTTTATCCATGCATTTCATGTTCATATTCATGCATAAAAAAAACTCAAAAAAATTTTAGCCTTCTTATTTTCTTTTTCTTGCATTCTGCATTTTAAAATCTATAAAACCCAAAAATATTTTCTAGTTTTTGCATCCCATTTTCATTCATTGTTTCCAAAAAAAAATTAATACGAGATGAATACAATCTTTACATACAATAGCTCCATGAAGTGGGAAAATGAGAATTCAAATGAAAAAAATTATGAGGCGACCGGATAGTTACCGGAAGTGTAGAATCATCTGTCATAACTAGGGGGCCCAAACACCGTAATTCGAGACCCCAGCCTTAGATAATAAAAAAATGGCATACTGAAACATTTTTGTGGGCGGTAATAACAACTTTAGGATGATTTGCTTCTGAATGTTTAAAAAGAATCCTTATCGACAACTCTGAACCCACAGAACACAGACCTATTTGTTGACACGCGTTACCCTCGCGGTAACAGAGAGCTTAAGTATCAGATCCACACAGTCAAGAAGGAAGAAAGGGTATAACTGTCATATTCAGTACCCAAATCAGAATTTCAAGTACTCAAACGAAGAAATTTTCAGAAATTCAAAAGATTGAAGAACTCAAGCTCAAAACGAAGATACAAATCCAAGTTCAATCAAAAAAATCAAAAGCCATCTCAAAGTCAAATCTGGCGAATGAAGAACTGTGTGATATGATACTTGTGGCTCTCGAAAAAGTGAAAGCATAGGAGCTGGGCCCCTTCGGGTGGGCTCACTGTTTCAACGAAAGTTGATTCGCCGTGACGGGTTCTTAAGGATGCGTCGATTCTGATTCTTGACTATCTAGTCTTAAGGACATGAGATCCCGAACTGTGTTATTTTCGCTCGCAAAAGCTAATTAAGGTATGAAGTTTAAATAAAACTATGGTTGGATTATTGGATTACACCGTTTCGTGGTCTTCCTCACTTGGGGGAGTCTGTGATATGTGGAAAGTAGCAGGATGGTCGCCTAGGTATTAATGATTGGAGCCCCATTGATGTAAGGTTTGATCGTATATGTCCATATTTATAAAAATAAATAAAAAATATTACTTGTGTTCTTAAAT